GAGTTTTCATGGATTGATAGACGCCGAACTTTCTCATTCTTGTTGATTCTTGTTCCGTTTGCTATCATAACAAAAGATTCTTCCCTGGATTTCATTTGAATGATTTCTCGCATTAGATCATGAACACGACATGTCTTGACCCTATTAAAATAATTCATCTCCACCACTTGGATCAAACTCCTATTCACGAGTTCATTAAGGTATTCCTCTGCTACTTCCTCCATTGTAAAGCCTTGCTTCTCTTCCACAAACCTTTCAACCATCCATAACCGGATCAACTTCATTCTTTTTATCAAATAGTCCTCTGGAAATACACTTAAATACAAATAACACTGTTTGAGGTAGTAAGGAAGATCATCATAACTTAGTTGAAGTATTCTACGTAGACTCCCAAGGTCGTTGTTACTTTTCAATTCTGCAGCTAGGCAGTCATGGACTTTTTTCCATTCCAAACCTTCATTCTTCTTCTTCGACAGAAGGCCTCCTATGGCTACAATTGCAAGTGGCAGTCCCTCACACTTCCTTAAGATATTTCGAGACATCTCTTCCAGTTCTGGAGGGCATACAGCCTTATGTTCCCCTCTAAAGGCTTTCATACAAAAGAGGGTCCAAGCTTCATTCTCTGGTAAAGCTTGGAGTTCATAAACATGACTAGCATTCTCTACAGATTCAGCCAGGTTACTTGAACGTGTAGTGAAGATAATTCTACTACCACAGTTACAATCAGGAAATGCATACTTTATTGTTTCCCAAGCGTTTACAGTCCATACATCATCCAAAACAATGACATACCTTCTTCCCCGTAGATAATTTCTTAGGGCATCAATTAATTGGAGGTCAGTCATTGATTGCAAATTATCCGGAACAGTTTCGTTTGCTGTCACCAGAAACCACTGCAGAGCAACTCGTAGAAGCTCCGTGGATGCAAATGATTTGGAAACTGTAACCCAAGAATGGGTATCAAAGCTTCTTCTGATGGGGTGGCTGTCATAGACTTTCTTTACGAGGGTTGTTTTTCCCAACCCACCCATTCCAACCACAGAGATACTGGAGAGCTTTTCTTCTCCTTCTACAAGCCACGAAACCAGTAGATGTTTTGGGTTCTCAATTCCCACGACATCAGCTTCATCCAAGTAAAGAGCAGCTAACCGGGAATCATGCCATTTCTCTACGGTAGCACTGGATGTTGATGGCATGTCCATCCTATTCAAAGAAAATGCATTTCTTCTCTCTGAAATGGCTTTCACCCTTGCTTTAATGCTTTGTAACTGGACTGCCAGCCGGTGCCGTGCACTTACTTTACGGATGGAACGATATGAATTGCGAAGATAATGGATAAAACCAGTCCCGTGAGATTGAGCAAACCGGAGCATGAACTCTTCAAGAATGTCCTCAGCATCATAAGCCACATCTCTCACTTGTTTGACCCAGGCTCTCAGTCCTTGATCACTCTCACTCCTTTCTTCCGCATCCTGAAGGAAAGATTTCATGCTATACAAATCATCCTGTAGTTCAACGATTCCCCCTCTAACTCCTCCCAAGAACCGTGTTTCTTCCGCTACAAAGGAAGCCAGTTTCTCGAGCACCACCTGCACTGCGATCATGGCCATGGCTTCTTGCTCCAGAATCATCAATCCTGATCTCTTTTCTCTCGCCAAATATTAAGGCCTCACATATAGTCAGATCGATCGATCAAATCCTTTACGTGTTTTCACATGGGCAGGAAGCTACCAGGAACTCCATTTTGACAGGGAAACCCCAACTAGACCTTTGACGAACTCCATATAAAATGATCAAAGTCTTTATCAACAAAACACAATTGGCCTTGACGGTCGGCGGGCATATAATAGTTTTTTATTGTTTTTTTCACAGAATAATAACTAACAAGAAGGACAAGTGTGGCCTCTGTCACAGCAAAAAACAGAAAGATGAACAAGAAGAAGGGGAGATGGTGGGTGGGCATAATATTGGGAGTTTTAAGGCCCTTGGGTTAAGGCTAAGGCGGAGATGAGGACAGCATGCAAGTTAGGGAGAATATTAATGGCCTAATTGCTATCAAACCCCCGCATTAAATCTTCGAGATGAAAGGAAGGAAGAAACAGTCGTGTATGTGAGTGAGAGAGAGACTTGTGTGGGTCATATTGATAACCGTGCCCCCATCAAAACCTCCAATTTACACCACACAGAGACTACAAGATGACGTGCCGCGCGCTCGTGCTTATAAACTAAATATGATAATTATTAATTAATATTAAATAAATAATAAAAACAAAAAATATGATAATATAAATATTGCTTAATAAAAAAAATTATAGTGATGATTAAAAATTTAAATATTAAATAAAATAATTTGTAGTAATTTATAGTATTTTATGAAGAAAGATATAATAATTTCGTCATATGATTTAGTTTTTTTATTAATAAAAAGTAAAAAAATTATAAAACTAAATTCTTTACTAATTTGATATTAAAAAAACCAACAAAGATAATTTTAGAATGAAAAAACCATGAAAAAAAATATTGTAGTAAATAATATTGTTTTGGGAGGAAAACTATAATACAAAATGTTGCACCTTCCCGCACACGACATCAAATGATGATTTTTTTTGTTTTGCTTAATTGGTTTTTTGGAATCGCCACTTAGTATTATGGTTATTAGGAAACCTAACTGGTCTTTCAAAAATTCTAAGGTAAGGGATTGGTTGCGTATAGGGAAAATATTAGCACCTCTAATACGTCCTACCTAAAATAAGCTGCTTGGTGTTTGGTTTGCTTTATAATTTCTATGGTGTTAGTGTTTTATAATCCCATCAGTTTTTCTAGATTTGATTCAGACTAAATTTATTAATATAGAAATCCAAGAAGATTTCATGTGCCTTAAAAGCTTATTTTTTCTTAAGATAGAAATCTAAGGAGATTTCATGTGCTTTAAAAGCTTATTTTTCCTTTAGCATTTTAAGAGTTTGCGACTCGTAAATCACAAAGAGTATGGACAAAAATTTAGAAATCTAGAGCGCTTTAAAAGCTTATTTTTTGTCTTAGTGTTTTATACTCTCACGGCTCGTAAACCATGAAGTAAAAAAAATTTGAAATATCCTTGATTATAATCAAAACTTCTTTCAAGGATGTGTGATGACTTATTATCCCTAGAAAATTATTTTAGATATTTACCACTTAGGGTTTCTTTATCTAAATATTAACAATGAATAATAACAAGCTATTCCCATTAAATATTTTTTATATTCATCCATTTAAGATTTTTTTATACAAACATTAATAGTAAATAATATATGAAATTCCCCACAAAATAAGATTTTTATATATTTTTTCAATATTGGCCAATACCCGTTGGAGTTTTACAAACATGTTGTAAAATCCAAAAATATAATAAAATAATTTTTGTGTTTAAGAAATCCATGCAAAAACACATTTTCAAAACTTTAAATACTTACTGCTCTTTTTTTATAAACAAAAAAAATATTCAAAACATATTAGGATATTGGTCGTATGCAATACACAAAATATTTTTATATTTTTTTTTGTCAAAAACATAAGCATCACAATTAATTGCAATTAAAGACAACAAACCATACGTATATATTCTCAAAAAAATTACAAGAAAACTGAACAGTCCAAAAAATCAAGAATGGCCCCTTGAAGTCAAGTATAAACCTTTTTTTTTATCCTTTTTTTTTTTAAAATCTAGCCTAGCCACATGAGCTGGACTTTATTTCCAAGCTCAACTCAGTTATTAGCTCATATAGTAACCAGTTCTGCCGTGAGAGTATAAAACAAAGTTAAATTTAAAAAAAATTATAAAAAAATCACGCGGAGAGACACTGTAATAATTCATAATGTTTTGTGAGGGAAACTATAGTGCTTTTCTTATGTAATTAAGTTTTATTACAAAGTTAAATTCTAACTATCTCAATATTAAGAAAAAAATTGATGAATATAATTTTGAAAAAAATATTACAAAAAAAACCATATCAGAAAAAGTATATCAATTCATAGTATTTTGTAAGGAAAAACTTGTATTTACTTGTAACTGCAATTCTTAATGATTAGTACTTAAAAGTGCATTTTTATCATGGTTTTATATCATCATTTTGCACTTGAAGTATCAATAATTCCTTAACTAAAATATGTTTTATAATAATGTATCTAATAATATAAGATACCTATAATTTGTGGTAAATGTCTATTTTTAATGCAGGTCTATCACATAAATGAAAGGATTGATTGATGACTTGAAGAACTTAAATTACATGGATAAAGAGATGGTCAAACTTAGAGAAGAGATGTCGGTGCAATCCAAACCGGAACACTGTTCGATAATTGGGCCATATCTGGAGCTACAGATCTCAGATTTAGGTCCAATTTATATGGATGGAAAGGTAAGACATAGGCATACAACTTTTATATGGAGCCCAAGATCTAAAAAGGCCATTATCAAGTCCAAATTGTAGCAACAACAAAGAAGCCCGAATCTGTCTTCCAGCCTGAGCACTGTTCGGTATTTTGGCCATATCTGGAGTTCTAGAAGTCCAAATGAGCTGAATGTTTTACACAAGAAAGCTGAGACAATTGCCTACAACTTTCATGTTACAACTGGCTCCAATTTTGACGTTATCAATGACGTTTTGGGCAGACAAGAGAAGATAAGGATTGTCACCAAGTCAAAAGTTGGCCACCCACTTATCAATTAGTCATCAAATCAATAGTTCCCAATTTTGGCCTATAAAAGGAGGCATTTGCCATGCATTTAGGCATCTTGGTTTCCAGATCAAGATCATGCTCTTCCTTTCTCTCTTTGTATTTTTTATGCTTTGCTTTCATTAATATTAAGTTTATGCCTTTCATTTCCTTTCCTTTACTTAGTTAACTTTTATGTTCTTATTTTGTTTATCTATTTTGCTTTCTTTCATTATGTCTAGCTAAGTTAATTATGTCAAGGTGAAAAGGTTACACTAATGGTGTAAGAATAAGTATAATGTAAACTTAATATGGACTTTAATGTTTGATACTAACATGTTTTATATTTGTTATCTTGTTCACTCTTTAATACTTTGCTTGTTAAATGACTAATCTTGATTTATGTTGTATAACACTTGGTACAACAAATGCTTGGCACTTTCATAGCCCATAATGTATGGTATAACCGACACCTGAGCTATGAAAGGAACTTGATTTGTTGTTAACATAAGTTATAATCATGAATGCTTGACGAGATTTACAAGTATTAGCATTAATTGAATAAGATGACTAATGTAATCATGTTAACAATATATAATCTGATTGGAACCTCCTTTGTGTGTGGTTTTCAATTCAATAATAAGAGTTTATACTATACTTGTTTGATATACCATTAGTGGAACCTCTAACCTTGACATTTGTTATTATTATTGTTTAATCCTTACATTAATTTTCCATCTCCAAGTTGTCATCATCATCTTCTCTTCTTCTTCTCTTTCTTTATTATTATTATTATTATTATTATTATTATTACTACTACTACTATTAATATTATTATTAATATTATTATTATTATTATTATTATTATTATTATTACTGTTGTTGTTATTGTTGTTTTATAATTGTTGTTTATAATTTGTACAATTAACCTCCCTGTGGTTCGACCCCGGTCTTGCCGGGTTATTTATTACTTTGACACTCCTGCACTTGGGAGAAGACATCAATCTTTTAGTCGTGTCAAGTTTTTGGCGCCGTTGCCGGGGAGGTAAGTTTTGTATAAATTATAATAGTTATTTTATTTTCTCTTTTTACTTTTCTTGTATATAACTTTATTTCTTTTATCTTGTTTCTTCTTCTTTTGCTTTCTATTTTCTTTTATTTTATTCCTACACGTGCATGAGAGTGTGGTCACGTACATCAAGTGGTAGACTTTGTAGGATATCCTTATCATTTTCAGAAAATATGGCCGAAGAAGATAATCAATCACTTCATAATGAGAATAATGAGAATAACCGTGTCAGAACACTTAGAGACCACATGAATCCCACAAGAACAAGTGCACCATCATGCATAGTTTTTCCTCCTGATGCATCTCATTTTAATTTTAAACCAGGCATTATTCAACTTTTACCTTCTTTCCATGGCTTAGAATTGGAAAATCCATACTTGCATTTAAGGGAATTTGAGGAGGTGTGCAACACATATAATAACTTAAATTGTAGCATGAACACCATCAGATTAAAGCTTTTTCCTTTTTTATTAAAAGATAAAGCTAAAACATGGCTACAAAATTTGAGACCAGGATCCATTCGTGCTTGGGATGAAATGCAACAACAATTTTTAAAGAAGTTTTTCCCATCTCAAAGAACAAACTCTTTCAAAAGACAAATCACCACTTTCACTCAAAAACCAGGAGAAATATTTTACAAATGTTGGGATAGGTATCGAGACTTGCTTAGTACTTGCCCTCATCATGGTTTTGAAACATGGAGATTGGTTTCACATTTCTATGAAGGGTTAACACCTAAAGATAGGCAAATGGTTGAATTGATGTGCAATGGAACTTTTGAAGATAAAGACCCTGATGAAGCAATGGAGTACTTAGACTTGTTAGCTGAAAATGCTCAAAATTGGGACACCGCGGGTACATATGAGGCACCGAGTAAAACTCAACCTCATACATCTAGTGGAGGTATGTACAACCTTAGGAAAGATCATGACCTTCAAGCCAAGTTTGCATCTTTAGCTAGAAAAGTCGAGGCACTAGAATTAAAAAAGAGTGGTCAATTAAAATCTGTTGAAAACATTGTGTGTCAAATCTGTGAAACAAATGAACACTCAACCAACGATTGTCCAACCTTGCCTTCTTTTAAAGAATGTCTCCATGAACAAGCCCATGCTTTAAACAGTTTTCAAAGGGCCAACCATAACCCATACTCCCAAACATACAACCCTGGTTGGAGGAATCACCCAAATTTCAGTTGGAAGAGTGAGAACAACAATGTACAAACTTCACAACCACCGTTTCAAGCACACCATAATTTCCAAAATTCTCATGGATATGCACCTCCTTATGCTCCACCTCCTAGAAGAAATCTTGAGGAAACATTGCATGCATTCATTGAAAAGCAAGAGACAA